TAGTAACGAAATTGTACTCCATAATCATGCAAGTTAAAATGAAAAGATTTATGAAATATAATATAAACAGGGCAATAAAAATATGCAACTAAAAAATTTAAATATATTTTACTTTTCCTTTATTTAGTTCAGTTCAGATCAGTTCAGATGGGGACTGGAACGATAGGAGAATCCCGTGAGTGTTCCATCTTGAGTGGATCGTTGAGCCAGGAATTTATGAAGTGCTCAGTTATTGATGGATCTAAAACGGAAACACACGTATCGCACCCTGGCCAACCAGTTAATGCCCACGTTTCCTGCCCTAGCAGTCCCTGCTTTGGCAGTCACGTGAAATAAGCAAAGGATAGGAAGAGAAATCGAAGGTCCAGAATAGGGAAGTGCACTTAAATAAGAAAATAATACCAATACGTGAAGAAAAGTAGAGAAAAGAAAATCGAAGTACGAAGATGCGTTACTCAGGAAATGGAAAGGTTTCGTGTTGCCACCCAAGAGCGTCAAGTTGCCGCTCAAACCCCTTAACCGTAGATTCCCTGATAACACTTTCCGGAAGCATGTTCCAGCAGTCGATAACTCGGCGTGACAGCCGGATTTCCGCCCTAATCCGATCGGACCGCGGTTTGTCCAGCTTCAACGAATGACCGCGTAGAACAGACAATCTAGCGGGACTGAATAGCCAAGATAAATCTGGACCAACCTTCCCAGTCAAGATACGGTAGGTTAGGATTAGGTCTCCTCTAAGCCTTCGGTAGTGCATAGAATGCATTCCCAAACTAAGTAGACGCTCGGGGTACGTCCGTCCCCGTAATCCCTCGACTAACCTAGTACCCACTCGTAAAATCCTCTCCAGCTCCATTTTGTCCCGGACGAGGCAGGGCGGACAAGCCTGGACGCAGTATTCCAGATGAGGGCGAACGAAAGCCGAGAACAGCCTCGTAAAGATGCCGCCCGTCAAGACTCCGAAAGAACGTCGGATTAACCACAACATGCGGAAACCTCTGCTTGCGGCCTTCTTCCAGTTGTCGCCGGAGTGTAAAGCCGAAGAGTGTACGACGCCTAGGTCAACCTGGCTAGATACACGGGGAGTTCGACCCCACCGACCAAGTACTTCGCAGCAGGACAACCTCCTCCAATTCGAAGAACGGAGCACTTTGCCTGATTTATGGGCAGTAACCATAAAGTAGACCAGTCCCAAAGCTTATCCAATGCTCGCTGAATAGCTTCGGAACCCCCAGGAACATCAACAATGTTCCACAGCTTCAGGTCATCAGCAAATAGCAGCGATGGTACCTCAAGCTCCGTGGGTAGGTCATTCACATAGATAGAGAACAACAGCGGTCCAAGGACCGAGCCCTGCGGCACGCCGCTGAGGACAGATTGCCTAAATGTTAGACCCCGGCCTACCCGTACACACTGTTCTCTACCCTCCAAGAAGGCAGTCACCCAATGAAGGGCGCGGCCAGATACCCCGTAGGAGGACAACTTTTGCGCCAGCCTCAAATGGGGTACCTTGTCAAATGCCTTCGAAAAGTCGACGAAAAGCACGTCCAGTGTGTGGCCGTTATCCACTGCAAGACAATTCTCCAAATGCTAGTCTCCCCTGCTAGCAAATACGGAGGTATACGAAGATTTTTCTTCGTTATACGTGTCCGGACACAGTACGAAGGTATACGAAGGTTTTACGAAGGTAAACTGAGATTTACCTTCGTAAAAGCTTAGTGTTTGCCGCTGAGTGACACGAGGAATACGAAGGTGGTTGTCCGCCAATCGGTTGTGTAGTTTTTGGTGCGCACGTGTATGCGTCTGCCATACGCAACCAATCACAGGACAGACGGACCGCACTTACGGAGGTAAACGAAGATTTTTCTCCGTCAATACGAAGCGCAGCCTTCGTAATGACGGAGGGAATACGAAGCGTTTCCTTAGTCAATACGAAGGTTTCTCTTAGTAATTACGAAGGCGTTTCCCCGTATTGACGGAGCAATACGAAGGTTTATCTCAGTAAATACGAAGGCTGCTCTTCGTAAATACGAAGCAATACGGAGGTTTTCCTTAGTATATACGAAGGTTTTTCTCAGTAAATACGAAGGCTGCTCTTCGTAAATACGAAGCAATACGGAGGTTTTTCTTAGTATATACGAAGGCTGCGCTCCGTAATTGCGAAGCAATACGGTGAATTCTCTTAGCACGTACGAACGTCGGTCACCTTACTGAAGAAGCTATACTAAGGTTTCTCTCAATATATACGAAGGTTGCTCTTCGTACTTAGGAAGCCATACTAAGATTTTCGACGCCATGCTACGATTCTTCTAAGTAACTTGCAAGGATGCTCATGCTAATAACGAAGCGAAAGTAAGAGATCACTTAGTTAATGGGCTACCTTACCAAAGGGTAACGTTCACGTGAGGGACGCGATTCAAGGCTTTCGGGAAGCCTACAGGAAGAGGTTTCTCCTTATGGCGTAAGCCAAATGCTCCTAACTAATCGCTATGAAGCTATTAGTATATCACGGTTTCCTTTCATAAGGTACCGGAAACGGTCGTACTTTTGCCGTACACGGCCCAGTGAACGTTTTCAAAAATGTGGACGCACAATACATGAAAGCAATACGTAAGCAGACTGCTGCGAGGAGTACATTGTCCACTTACCCATAGGGTATTTGCAGCCTGATTTCCCTTCTCCCCGTCCGACTAGGTAACGAAATGACCAGGGAGTAAATACCGCATTTGTGAGTCAGTCAATCCCACACCATTGCAAAAGCTGGCTGACATCTTAATGCAAATGTGAACGAGCGTACGTTATCAGCTACGGCGAAATATGAAACCGCGCAACGTAGTTGTCCCTGTCTTTTGATAAATGAAAGACCATGGCCTGCAGTGCCTTCCTTCCAGTCACGCAGTAGTCGGAAGCGGTAGTCACAATACGCGCCGAGACGGTGACATCGTATCACATATGCGGAAATACCAGGGAGCGCTTGAAGCAAACCAGAAAATGGTTACAAATGTATATTAAAGTGCATGTAAACATTTACAAGTTTGTCCGTGTTTCCTGATTGCTCTGATTGTCTAAATCTATCAAATCAAAAGGCTGTAAATGAAGCCGTTATGTACGGCATTAAAGGTACACAATACCTGCGATTCCTGACTGCTTGATGCGGCAGATGTACGCCGGTGCAGATTGCTCCGGGTAATCTGTAGCCATTTGCAAACGCCGTTCGCTACGGCGTTGGCCGTGACCCCAAATCGGTTAACGATAACTTCTGTGAAGGAAGATAAAGTGGGAAAAGGTTATCTGAGTTACCTTGAAGCGCACTGAATGTGTGCGTTTTCTTGAACGGTATCGCGTTGTTTGCACCCGCGAAGTTCAGCTGCCTCAAGACCTCTCTGTTCAGAACCCTGTCCAACATGTATCGAATAGCCTCCGATACCGTGCCGGCGGGTGTACAGTTCAGGCGGGTAGTCTAAGTCATGAATGGAAAATCCTGCAAGGTGACTTACCAGTTCTCGACGGAGGTCTGGGTCCACCAATTTACCCTCTAAGTCCATGAATTCCTCAATAGTCGAGGTAGGTAGAGATAATTCATTAGGTTGCATTGGTTTTGCAGTCCACATGGCCTGGCTCATGGCCGCGTGGCTCTCCTTCAATACGTGAAGGGTCTCCTCCACGCGTCTAAGTGAATCTGCTAATTCGTCGCAAGTAAGAAGCTCAAACATACCGACCACAGCGTGCAAAGTGTGCATGACCCTTTTGTCAGATTCATGACACCTGCCTGCCAGGGCGTGTATCTAAAGTGCAAAACCGGAAGACTTACAGCATTTCATACCCTCCGTTTGAACGGCTACTTCATTACATCCACCTGTTGCGGAAAACGGAATTACGGAAAAGGGAACTTACGCATGTGGGAATCCTCCTGGACGTCATCAGCAATCTGAGGAGGCATGGTATGCCGCGCCAAGTCCTCCAACGAGAATTCAGGAAATCTCCCATAGGTTGCAGATGCAGGAGCGTTGCACCGTTTTTTCTGGTCGGTACATTATCATCCCCGTAATCACGAAGTTTCGCCGGCAGGCGTCTGCAATGCATTGCGTTATCAAATGTGTAGCGCATTACATAACTCGTTTCGGTGATGTTTGCATGGGGATGGTGCAATCGGTGTCCGTCCCATGACGTTGATCCCCGACGGTACTTTCCAGTCGGCGTGCGTCCTCGAAATGCACTGCAAATGATTAAATGAATGTCCTTACCTGTACGATGAAGTACCGTCACTGGAAACATTTTGCAATCAGCTATGGGGTAGCTGTGCTCCCGCACCGCCTGGTGGTAATCGAACAGTGGAAGGTTGGGCAAAAGAGCATGCTGCCCGTCCTCCAACAGCCATCTGCTGCTTATTGTGTTCACTTGGGACACACCGGCGTGCGTGTAAGTGACAACGCAGTAATCCCACAGCGACATATCTGTAGAAGCCATTACATACGTGATTACCGTAAGCATGCAACTGCTGGACGCCCCCGGAAAAAGCGGGAAGACAGACAACACATACAACCGCAGACTACAGATGGAACACTCGGAAGTAATCTATGGAAGGAGTATATTTTAATGGGTGTCATCCGTAATGGTTCCAGATACACAACATTAAATCACATCGTGGCCTTCCTATGTTCCTCAGGTCGGGATTGTCGCAAGTTCCCCTCCAATCCATCTTTCCGTGTTGGTTAGTGCAAGGGAAATTACTGACGTGATCTCGCATAACTGGGACATAACAAAAAGCGGCACTTACCGGAGTCTGTGGGCACAAAGGAATAGAGGTACTTGCATACCTGTTATCAACATGGGCCGCATCCTTGAGTTTTCAAAATGTTTGAATTTTTTGGTCTTTTTCGAATATCATTTTGCTTTCTTTTCCGTCTCCAGATAAAGTGTTACCATAAGGATAATGAAATGGTCACATATACCATGCGGATAAACAGGCGGAGTCGGTAAATGCCGTTAGCACCATATGTAAGGGTATCCTGCAGCACGCATACCTTGTGATCATGGCATAGGTCAACAAGACCGCAAACCTACGGCACCCTGGGTTTTTGCGTTCTAAATGTATGCAGCAATGGGATGATGACTTCGTCTAAACCAACGGTGAAACATACGCATTTGCATAGGATGTCATGAATAGGAAACCGCCGCAAGTCATCAGACACACCATTAGCAACATAAATATGCAGCCTGGAAGATGGCATACTATGGACGTATAAATCTCTGAGATGTAGGAATGATGCGCAGTTAACATATGCGGTTGCAGCAACGTCCGGTTGCAACGATACTATCTGGTACGGTTTCTTTCCTACGATGATTACGTTGTCCGGTTTGCTTGGGAAAAACACGGTCCCATTTAACCTAAAACCCATTTGCCTATTTATTTCGATGAGGGATATAGTTTCACATAGGTTGGAGGGCTGATTACCATTGCATAAGTTTCCCTGGAACTCCATACACCGTCGCAAAAGCTGAGGAACGATGTTCACTGGGCTTCGTATTCGCCTTTTCAGACACCTAATGTAAGATTCGAAAGGGAACGCGGAGAAATCATCCAGTGTCCCATGTGCATACGCATCTTGTGCCAAATGACACAGGGAATGCATGTTGAATGTCATTTCTTCAGCCCCATACAGTTTGAAGAAACGCGAAATAAACACCATAAGTACATTATGTGCAAAAGAGCAACATTTTCTGAATAGCAAAGGATGACAAAGCAGATAAATACCTAAATGCAAATCCAAGAAATTGACGTAATAGTCCAGGGGCAAAATATCCGCCAGAACCGCGGGTCCGGCATACAACAAGAATTGCCGAAATTCAGACGCTTTCCACCATCTGAACTTATCTACGCTTCTACAACGGCGTGGAAAATCACGCGGCCAATGACACCGATTCATGTCAAGGACATCGTTAAGACGTGACACAGTGTCCATATCCAAGCGAAAATCCTTGCTAGCGGCGGCAGTTGTCCACAAGGATATCAGGCGCCGCATAACACCCAAGCAAACAGCATGCATATAGTCTATAGGAAACTGCTCCACCATGTCTATGGGCAAGTATTCAAATGGTGACCATTTGCTACGGCAGTGCGCACGGAAGGACTCATTGGTACGTAGGCGGCAATCGGTGCAAGGAAAGGTTACTTTCCCAGAGACATAAACACCTCGCTGCACACATTTGTCGCAGCTGCCGTACCCGGAATGTGCTTTACTACGCTTCACATATGATCTTGCTGGTGCATCACAAATGATATTAGAGATACGCACAGCGTTTGGTGTAGACCGCCCGGGCAACATAACGCCTGTTCGAAGTAACGTTCTCAATTCCGTTACAAGTGGAGCCAAGAAGTGGTGTACATTCCACGGTTTTCGTGGACCCGAGTACACACCAACCAAAAATGGATGCGATATCAAGGGCGCCACAGACCTACACAAAATGGGCCAAACTTGCACACCGGATGAATTAAATGGTGAGAACCCATCCACATGCAACTGCAGGTGAATGCTCTGGTAGGTGGGCACACTTTCGCAACGGTAAGCCATCTTCAGACCGTCAATTATCCCCATGTGACCATACGTACCAGGATGTACCTCCATCTCGTTAGTGGTTCTTGGAGTTTTCATCAACGTCCGGTAATCCTTCGGTAGAGACGGTATAAACTTACGCAACCCTTCCAGAAGCTTGTTAACAGCCCAAGCCGAGGTGTTGGTATTAAGCACCCATGATGCGAGGAAACTACGTGCCTCATCACACGGCGTTGGTGACGTAGTCAAATCTATAGCAGTGCAATCATGCTCCCCTATTTCGCAGCTCATGCTTTGCACGTCATCACTCTCGGTTTCCGTCCTTGGTGACTGAACGGAAAGTACGTCGGGGGATTCGCGTATACAGCGGTTGTGGTCCGCATCTGAAAGGTTACGCGGTGGCGAGACGCAGAAGTCTACAAACACACAAAAAGGTTGTCTGTGAACCTTACCTCCCATAATTGCATCCACGTTACAAGTGGGGCTATGGTTGCGCTCACTGAATGCCTCACGCTCTGCGAGTCTACGCAAAAGCAGCAATCGCATTCTCAATGTGCGTGCAGAAGGTAACGCAAACGAACAACGACGTCTTGTTAAACGACTACGCATCTCTAGAACATGAAATATTAAATGAACAAACGCTTACGTAACGCTGCTTAAACAAAAAAAGGTGTCTGAAGTGAATAACGGACGTACCGACAAGGAGACCAATAGGGAAACCGTAGAGCAATCAAATGACCGCGCACTTCTATTTCCGGGACAAAAAGGTACGCAAACAAACACTGACGTTTACCTTAATGAACACAAATCCACATTATACCTCACTTTATAACCCTTTGACGTTATTATACGTAACATTGATTGTTCAACAAAAAAATTTCTTTGTATTATTTTTGGTCCAATCATACATCTACATAGAAAGTCCACGGACTGCCTTCCTATTGGTTCGTAAATGACGAAGCAAAACGAAGACAAACCTTCGTAAACGTCCGTCATTGACGGAGGTAAACGAAGGAAAATCTCCGTAAACGTCCGTCAGTGACGGAGCAAAACCAAGCAAACTCTTCGTAACCGTTCGTCATTGACGAGGGTAAACGAAGATTAACCTTCGTTTTGCTTCGTCAATGACGAACGTTTACGAAGAAAAATCTTCGTAAAGGTTCGTCAGCGCCTCGCCATTGACGAAGCAAAACGAAGATTTTGCTCAGTATGACGGAGATTTTTCTTCGTCATGTGCTACCAGGGTCTTGTTCTGTGAGTACTACGCGGCGACTAGATTTTTAATGTGCCATAATGGTCGAGATTTTTAGCTGAACTAACTTGCAAAACAGTGTTTGAATAAACACTTGAAACGAATTTTGTCTATTGTCAAATTTCTTCTGATATCCAGGATATCGACTAAAGTGGTACGGGCCAAAACGTCTCCCTGACGTTTACTGGTAATTTAGCTTACGTTAAAAGACGCAGCGGCGCAAAACTGTCTATACCAGCTTCATTGCGAGCAGACGGGACCCTTGCGCAAACTGCCTATTACAAGGCTTTTATACTGAGTGATCAGTACACTGGGGTCTTTGTTTGTGAGACCTCTTTACCACAGGTTGAATTGGTTTCAAGAGTTCCAGAGGATTTTTGCTTAGCTGAATTTAGCATAACCGAGACTCAGGTCTTCGAACTACTGCAAGGCATTATTCCCTCTAAAGTTTCCAGTCCTGATTCAATTCATCCAAAGCTGTTGCATGAATTGGCCACTGAGCTGAGTGGTCTGCTCACATGCCTGTTTTCGTTATCGCTGGACAGCTGCAGCCTACCTTTGGAATGGAAGGAGGCAATCATCTGTCCGATAGTTAGGGGCGGTGACAGCGCTCTACCCGCGAACTACCGGCCTGTCAGTTTGAGAAGCATAGTAGTCAAGTTGTTTGCACAGCTGATAAGGGATTCAGTAGAGAACCACCTGAATAGATTCAACCTTCTCAGTGTTGCGCAACATGGATTCCGCAAAGGATTTTCATGTCAGACTAATCTACTTGTAGATCCTGAAAGCTGGGCCGAAGCGGTAGACAGTGACCATGCCGTAGACATGCTATTCGTGGATTTTTCGAAAGCTTTTGACTCTGTTCCACATCTTCGGCTGTCACTAAAGTTGAGATCTTACGGGATATCTGGTCGCGCCCTTCAATGGGTGTCTGCCTTCCTTGAGGGGAGGGAACTGTGCGTACGGGTGGGGCGTAGCCTTTCGCTCAGGCAAGCTGTCCTTAGTGGCGTTACGCAGGGCTCGGTATTGGTGCCATTGTTGTTCGCGATCTATGTACATGACTTGCCGGGAGAGCTAGAGGTGTCATCACTAATGTTTGCTGACGACCTTAAGTTCTGGAATATTGTAGATATCCCGGGGGGCCCTGAGACAATTCAGCATGTCTTGGATATGCTCTGGGAATGGTCTACCTTATGGTTGATGCCCATAAATAGGGCCAAGTGCTCTGTTCTCCGAATCGGATCTGCTAATCCTCCCACCCAATATGTTGTCGGCGGTGGTGAACTCCCTGTTGTCACTCAGCATGTTGAGTTAGGGGTCGTACACGCATCAGCACTTCATTCTGGAGACATCTTAAAGAAGGCTGCTTGTCGAGGGTTTCGTATGATGTGGTTTATCCGCCGCTGTTTAGGAATCCTAAAGGCCAATTTGTTTGCGAAGCTATTTTCGGCATTCGTCCTCCCCCACCTGGAACATTGTATTCAGGCTTGCCCACCATGTCTTAACCGAAATAAAATGGACTTGAAGAGGGTGTTACGAGTGGGCACTGGGTTAGTGCAGGGTCTACGGGGACAGACGTATCCTCAACGCTTGCTCAGTTTTGGGATGTACTCAATGCACTATCGAAGGATAAGAGGGGACCTGATTCTCACTTATCGTATTTTGACGGGTAAGATTGGCCCGGACTTGTCAGGACTATTTAGTCCCGCTACGTTACCTAATCTCCGCGGTCACCCACTGAAACTGCATAAACCACGGTCTGATAGGATTAGGACGGAAATTCGTCTATCGCGCCGAGTTATAGATCGCTGGAATTCGCTTCCAGATCACGTGGTTAGGGAACCTACGGTTAAGAGTTTTGCGCGCCAGCTCGATGCTCTTGGGTGGCAACACCAAACCTTTCCTTTTTCCTTGCTGACTCACCTTCACTTTTCAGTTTCTTTTTTAATGACTCAAATATCTTGGTCTTTCGCTTGCTTAGCTATTTCTACTTTCTCATTGCCTTCTGGGGCAGTGCACTCATTGTGTGCGCTATTTGTACCCCTCAAGACTCGGAAAGTTGGACCAATAAACTCCATTGGTTTGACAAAGAGTATAACCGACTGTCTCGACAACGGCGTCGACTATGGAATGCGTTCCTTCTGTCTGGCTCTGCCGATGACTATGAGACCTGTGAGAGCGACGTCCTCTTGTGTGTTACGTTCCACTGTGATCTTCTGGGCGAAGAAAAGAGAGTAAAGATCGTTTCTGGAGAATCATCTAGTGAATATTTGGACCTCATCTTTCATGGCGTCCAAATGCTTGTCCTGTAGTAAAGGTGTCACCACCCGTTCCAAAGCAGTGCAGTGCTCTGAATGTGATGGGTGGATGCACATCGCCTGCTGCGGCATCTGTCCTGATCA